TTCAAAGACCCCCTGCCTCTCTAGAGCTGAACAACACCATTCAAGCCTACTTTTTCCCATTTTTAATTGGTTTTTTTTTGAGATATCATTTACATACCTACAGTCTTACCCATTTAATAAGTGTACAATACAATCATTCTAATATATTCACACAGTGGTACATATACTACCACATTCTAACTTTAGAATGTTTTCATCACACTAAAAAAAAATCTCCATCCCTATTAATAGTAACTCTGTAGCCTCCTACCCGCCAGGCCTTGACCACCACTCGTCTGCTTTCTCCAACCATAGATTTGTCTGTCCCAGAAAGACTTGGTGATTGGCCTCTGAAGAGTCAGCTGCTGGAAACCGTACAGAGCAGTTCCACGCTGACACACTTGGCATCTCCTGGTGTCAGAATCGGCTTGATGCCACACTCGGCATGTGTTAGGCACGGTGCTTTTCTTAGGGAAACACAAAATTTAAAGGGTTCTATCTTACAACCTGGACACTGAGGGTACACATATGACTAGCTTGGACTTAGCAGTCTAGAAGAAGGATTAAGATATGCCAAAAATATAATAGCCATGTTAAGTGATGCGTGATTTACTTAACCAAACCTCTCAAGAGCTGATGCTAGTTTCTGATGAAGTTTGCATCAATATGTAATGAAGTAAGAAAGATGATGACACAACGCTTCCTTTTTTTTTTTTTTCTAATCATTTTATTAGGGGCTCATACAACTCTTATCACAATCCATACATCCATCCATTGTGTAAAGCGCATTTGGACATTCATTGCCCTCATCATTCTCAAAACATTTCCTCTCCACTTAAGCCCCCAGCATTAGGTCCTCATTTTCCCCTCCCTCCCCACTCCCCACTCCCTCATGAGCCCTTGATAGTTTATAAATTATTATTTTGTTGACACAACACTTCCTTTTGTTGTTGTTTTCTTTTTTCCCAAAAAGCCTTTTTATTGGGAAGTAATACAGATATCATACTATTCCATAGTTAAATCACACCAAGCATATCAGTTTCAAAGTATTCTCTTTCTTCTCGAACTCCTTGATATCATCTCCCCTCCACCTACCCCACTGCAGCCCCCAGAGACCCTAATTCTACTTGCTGTCTCTGTAAGTTCACCAATCCTGGGTTTCATATACTTAAAAACAAAAACAGTAGACAATGCCTCCTTTTATATAAAATAATGATAGAGACAATATAAGGTTTTGTTATTTTTCTTTTATTGATGCTACTTGCCAATATAAGAAGTTGGAAATCCTATGTTGAACTTTAATTTCCATGAGATATCTTTCTTGTCCAAAAAGTTAAAAATTTAAATAAAAAATAGTTAAAAATCCAGGCCAGAGAGAAATGTCTGGCGCTGGGATGATCAAAGAAGGCTAGGTGGAAGAGTTGATTGGAATTTCATGAGCCAAGGCAGCAGCGTGGAGATGACTGAAAAGATGATGGAGTCTAGAAAGTTAAGTTAGGTGGAGAGCGAGGGCGAGGCAGCCAGGGCGGAGGGCCTGGAAAGCCAAAATGAGTTCTTTGAACTTGATTCTCTGGATAATGGGAACCTCCTCAAGGGGCTGGAGGAGTGACATGAAGAAAGAGGGTGCTTTCGGGAGATGAATGTGGCAGCACCTTGAAGAAAATTGCAGGTGGAGAGACTAGTTAGAAAGCATTTGAGGTTTATAATGTGACATTGTATTTTGTTTCTGGCCAGAAAATAATGTGATCTTTCCTCAAAAGCCATACTGGTCTTTGGCATTCGTGGTTGGGGCAGGGTGCAGAGGTGGTCTGTAACGTGGTGGAGTAAGCAAAGGATTAAAAGGACGAGAGTCCCATTTGCAACTGGAAATGTTTCGTGCGTGCTAGCTATCCAGTGCAAGGCAGGGCTGAGCTTCACACACTCGCCAGGGACAAAGGGCCCAGAGTTCTCACACTAAGAAACCAGAATCATGGAAGATGGCTCTGCCGTAACCTCCAGCTGCTTACCCAGCCCCACTGTGGTCTGTACCACAAGGGGAAAGGGACCCTGTCGTTATTGTTAGGTGCCAACACATCAGTTCTGACGCAAACAAGGGGATTTCAAAAGTTGGTGGGGAAAGCCTGTTTCTTTTCATTCTTTTTTCCATGCTCCCTCGTACAATAGCGCAGAACACTGACTAGTCCTGCACCATCCCCACAATCGTCCCTATGTTTGAGCCTATTGTTGCAGCAGCCACGATGGCGGTCCATGTCACTGAAGGTCTTTGTTGCAGACCCTCTACTTTACCGAGCATGATGTCTTTCTTCAGGGAGTCGTCCCTCCTGATGGTTGTTGTTAGGTGCCAGCGAGTCGGTACAGACACATCTCGACCCACCGGGCAACAGAACGAAACACTGGCCACTTCTGCACCATCCTCTCAGGGCTGGTTACGTTGGAGCCCATTGCTACAGCCACCATGTCAACCCATCTTGTTGAAGGTCTTCCTCTATTCGTTGTGCTTCTACTTCTCCAGGCACGATGTCCCTCTCTCGGGTCCCATCCTTCCTCATAACTGTTTCAAGTATCTGAGATGAAGTCTCCCCAGCCTTGCTTCTAAAGAACATTCTAGCTGCACTTACGCCAAGGCAGATCTGTTCCTTCTTCTGGCAGTTCCTGGAATATTCAATATTCCTCACCAATGCCATAATTCAAATGCATCAGTTCTCCTCTGTTTTCTGTCTTCATTGTCCCGCTTTCACGTGCATGGGAGGGGTTGACAGCACCTTGGCTCTGGTCAGATGCACCTTCACCCTCTAAAGTGGCATCTTGGCATTTTTACACTTTAAAGAAGTCATCTGCAACAGATTTGCCCAGTGCGGTACATCCGTTCATTCCTAACTGCTGTCCCCGGAGGCATGGCTTGTAGGTCCAAGCGAAATGAAACCCTTGCCAACTGCACTCTTCTCGCCATTTAGCATGGCGTGTTGCCTCTGGGTCAAGTTGTGAGGATTTTTGTTTTCTTTCTGTTGAGGCCTAATCCATACTGAAGGTTGTAGTCTGACCTTCACTCAGTGCTTCAAGACCTCTCCCCTTTCATCAGCCAAGGTGTCATCTGCGTAGCTCAGGTAGCTATTGAGTCCCGATGCTGTGTTCTTCGTCATCTAGTCCACCGTCTCAGATTATTTGCTCAGCATACAGATTGAATAAGCAGAGTGAAAAGTTACCACCCTGGAACACACACTTCCTGATTTTAAACTACGCAGCAGCCCCTTGTTTTGTTTGCGCAACCGTTTCTTGGTCCGATTTGTGATCCAAGTGGGTTTTTATAAAGGATGGGAGAAGTTTCAGGTTTACAGCCTCGAGTATATGCTATTTCAGGGGAAGCGTGCCAAACTGCTCGAAAGCTGCACTGGGGCCCACAACTGAACATGGGCAACCTCTTGGGACTGCGCACCCACCTGAGGCTAAAGAAACCATGGCACGGCCAAGTGGGCACGGGAGCAGGGTCAAGGGGAGAAGGGTAAAAAAGACCAAAAAGGGCTGGCTGTCCTACCACCAAGGTATTAAAGCCTCTGGCTGGGGAGGCGTGGTTGATAGTATTGGCTGAATTAAGCCCACCTGGGTGGGGTCATGAGCCTGGGCCTGGTTTGGGCCACCCAGGTGTGACTGAAGTTGGGTGGGGGGCTGGTTTGGAGCATGCCCAGTTAAAGCCTTCATGGGTGGCTCATGCTTGCCTGATTCCTTCCCACCTCCTGTAGGGGAGCTTGACCCTATTCTGCTACCTAACACACTGAGTGTTTCCTTCCATCTTCTTCCGATAATTTCCATGCCATTCAATATTTTACCCACAGAATCCTTCAGTATTAGAACTGTGGTTTCTTTAGTTCTTTCAGCTGGAGAAGCGTGCATTCAAGTACAGCGGTACCATTTCTGTTCTGTTCTGCCCCGCCATCCATTCCCCCCACCCCCAAGGCTCATTATTGGTTGGTTCATTTCCTAAACCGAACCTCTTTCTCCCTCTTTCTTGGCCAATTGTTTCCTGCTTCCTACGGTCAAGAGGCTGTAGGCCCTCCCCTTCAGTGTAGGTGATAGGGCTGTGGGGTCTTTCATTACTCTGCCCGTGCCACCATGAAACTCTTCTCAGCATGGCCTCGGTGGCTTCGTGGCTCTCTAGGGGACGGAAGAAGCAATCAGGGAAATCAACCACAAGGCTTCTTTCTCGGGCGGACTGCAGAGTCCCCACTAGCTGGCTTTGGAAGGAAGGCCAAGCCCAGTTGGAGGCCAGGGACTGAGACAGCCCCTGGGGAAGGTGGATCGAGGGAGGGGCAGAGGGCGCACTGAGGTTTTTTTTCTAGCCACTCCTTCCCCTTAGCAGGTCTTTTCCTAGGAAGAGGGACACCCCAGCCGCTCGTCTGGCCACCGGTTGCTTCCCCCAGACCCTCCGATTCTGGTGCAGTCACAGCTTGCTCGCCCTCGGAAGAGGCAGAGGACTGAACTTGACTGTGAGGAAGGGTATTTGCAGCCAAGGGCATCTTAGAGGCTCGCCACCATCCTGTGTACAGAATCCTGCCCCTGGCCCAATCTCCCTTTTCCCTGAGACAGATACTTCCTGGAGGAGGCACGCCCTAGGACGCCCAGGGCTTAGAGTGCTTAGTTCAGCATCCACGGGGCTAAGCTTGTCACGGCGCCGGCAGCCTCCCTTAGGGCTTCCGAGTCCCCCTCCCAGATTGGTTGCTCCACCCGTGGCGGGTCTGGAATCCTGTTGAGGGGGGAAACAAGGAGGCCTTCAGAGAGGGTGGGCAGAGGAGGGAGAGGTTTCTGGCAGAAGTCCGTAGGGAGGGGCTTCAGAAAGGAAGGACGCCCCAAGCCTCTGCCCAGACTTGCAAGGAGCCAGAGCTCAGTCTGCAGCATGGCCTGGCGGCTGGCTCCTCTTTCCTGCCCCCTCCCCCTTCCCCGGACTCAGGGGCCCGCGGGACTGGCAGGGAGGCGGGCTGAGCGGCTGTACGGTGGGCATGCCTGCTCCTTTCCTTCCCCCTTCCCTTAGCAGCAACGTCACCGCAGCACCCGCGGCAGCGGCAGCGGCAGCAGCCAAGATACTGGGGCTGGCATTGCGCAGCCTCACTGCATTAGCGGCGATGCCATTGTATTAGCAGACATCCGAGCCGAGCAAATCGGCCCAGGTCCCCCGTGTGGTCCCGTGGAACAGTGCCTCTGCGGGAACTGTCACTGTAGAGCCCGGCGAGTGCAGAGGGCCCCGCCGCCGGTGCACTCGGGGCTCCTTGCAGAGGTAGGCTCGGCAGCGCTGGGGGAGGGGAGGGGAGGGGCCGGTACGGGCCGGGCCGGTCAGCACATCTGGGCCCCGGCGTGTGATGGCTGGCTTTGTCTGCCAGACACCGAAACCAGGGACAGGAGGCGTACGTGTCCTTGCGCACACTGGGCTGTGGTGCAGAGGTAGAAGCAGCAGAGGTTTAGGCATAAGGCGATTTTGTCTAGAAGCTGAAGGTTCCCTCCCTTCCTTCCTCCCTCCCCAACCTTCCTTTTTGTTTTGCTTCCAAGATCCCTGCTGGGCATCGCTAATGACGCTGCTGCCCTGGGGTGCGGGTCAGCACCGAGGAGGGGTCAGATGGAGAGACGGCGAGACAAAGGCTTAATGCCAGGGGCCACTCCTACCGCAGCTTTGAGTTTATGATGGACTTCCAGGGGGGCACGCAGCTGTCACGGGGAGGGGCTGAGAAACATCAAACCCATCCTTCACACACACACACACACACACACACACACAAATGGACCATATCTTATGGTGAGATGGGACCCAGCGGGATCTAGGAAGAAATGAGTAAAAAGAAATGTTGACCAAGAGGCACCCCGGAATATCGGAGTGGGGACAGGTATTGTAATGCCTAGGACTCTTGACCTGATGTTATTAGTCTTCTCACACAACCTTAGAAATCCAATCTGTTTTTTTTGAAACCCAATCTTAAACTAATATTCCTACATTCTTCCTACTGCCCTCTCACTGCGTGTCCTGTTTGGAGAGAAGATTCTCCACTCACTGCCATCGAGCCAGTTCTGACTCAGAGTGACCCTAGAGCACAGCAGAACTGCATCTGTGGGTTTCTGAGACCGTAACTCTTTATGGGAGTAGAAAGCCAAGTCTTTCTCTCAAGGAATGGCTGGTGGGTTTGAACTGCTTACCTTGTGGCTAACAGCTCAACACATCACCACTAGCCACCAGGGCTCAGTAGGGAGGACTTAGACAGGAAAAAGCTTATCAGTGCTATTGATGCTCCTTATCAGGGCCTCAGGTCAAGGTCAGATTCCGTGTGAGAGACCAATAAAGGGAGGAGTTCTATGGCTGGCAGAAAGACATTGTTGACCAAACACTAGAGAAACCTTTCTTCTTGAGGTTAGCATGTTTTTCTGCCCAGTTACACTACTGCCAAGCAGGGAGAGTTCCTTCATTTCCCATTTCCATCGAACACCTTGATCCATGATTCAGAAACAGATGCCAACAAGACGCACTGCTTCCTTATTGTGCAGCTCGATGGTTGAGGAGCACTGGTATACTGGGAAGTTGTGAGAGGGGGCTAGTTCCCAGAAATGTCTAGGAATGGGCAATAGAGCAGGAAAAGTGTTTGGGGGTGTGGGTGGGGCAGGAACAGGAGCCTGGGGACTGAAGCAGGAGGCGGGGCCTGAAGAGTGTCACCAGAGCAGGGGAAGCAGTAGTGGAGTGATAGCAAAGGAGGGGAGTAGGTAGCTAGAAACTGATGGTGGAGGCTAGCAGTGGGTCGCCCAGGAGAGGTAGGTAGCAGCTGCCCTGGAGGCAGGGTCAATACAGGGACTTCAGGAAAGGGGTGTGGCCCTGAGGGTTTACCTTTTGCAGTGAAAAGAACTGAAGTTGGGCAGATTTGGTTTTGAATCCCATCTCAGCTGTGTAATTATGGGCAAACTACTTCTATCCTCCAAACTTGGTTTTCTTATCTGTTAAAATGGGATGATTGTGTCCACTCTAAAGATTTATAGTGGAATTAGGAACAGTAGAGATCGGTGTGGTTCTCAACCTGTGGGTCGTGACCTCTTTGGGGGTGGGTGGGGTCAAACAACCCTTTCACAGGGCTCGCCCGATTCATCACAGTAGCAAAATGACAGTGATGAAGTAGCAACGAAAATAATTTTATGGTTGGGGGGTCACCACAACATGGAAACTGTGTGAAAGGGTTGCAGCATTAGGAAGGTTGAGAACTATTGGTATAGATGCATCTCGGACCTCTGGAGGTTCAGAGGAGCCCTGGTGGCTCAGTGGTTAAGTGCTCGGCTGCTAAAGTGCTCGGCTGCTAATCAAAAGGTCAGCAGTTCAAACCCACCAGCCGTTTGACCCGAGAAAGACTTGGAAGTCACCCTTCATAGCCTTGGGAACCCTGTGGGTCAGCCCTATTCTGTCCTCATAGGGGCACTGTGAGTCAGAACAACTAGAGGGCAGTGGATGGATGTCAGTCGTCTGACATGTAAACCGACTGCTATCGAGCTGATTCTAACCTATGGGGACTCTGTAGAGGGTTCCGGGCTACAGATCTTCTAGGAGCAGATAACCTTCTTTCTCCCTGAGAATAGCTGGTGAGTGTGAACCACCAACTTTAGGTTAGCAGTCCCTCGCAGCCCCGCCAGGGCTCCTCCTCTGGTATGTAAGTACTCACAATGGTCGTTCATGGTTGGTATTTGCATGACTCAGGCCAGGAAAAGGGCTCTCGGAGAAAGCGTCCCGTGTCTGGAGTGCTAGCATTCATAACTTCTTACTTAATGGAGAGCCTCAGCCTCTCCGTTAGGCACAGTGAGAGGACTCAATTGCTGAGGAAACTCTCTTCTTCTGGATCCCCAGTTTCCCCATCATCTTCACCTGCCCTGTGTCTCCATTTCATCTCGAGAGAGTCTGGAATAAGCTCTTTCACCTGACTTCTTGTCACCCTTTATGCAAGCTCTTTGGCCCTGTGATGGTATGGGCTAGGCATTGGGCTGCTACTGCAGGGTTGCAGGTTTAAGCTTACCGGCTGCTCTGAAGAAGAAACGATGAGGTTGTCTGCTTCCACAGAGATTCAGATTTGGAAACCCTGTAAGTCTTAATGGACTTCGTGATGGTGGGATTTTTGGATGGGCCACAGCGTTAAATTCATCTTGTTATAGAGCAAGCCACCCCCAGGAAGAGGTCTGTTTGACTTAGATACATTCCCTAAATGTTCTTTGGTGTGTAAAGTCAAGCCATACAATCTGCTCTCATCACATTGTTCACTGGTTCCCCCAAAATGGTCAAAAATTAAGCTTTCTGAATTCCATCTTAACTGTCCTTTAGTCATTGAATGATCTTCAACAAGTCCCTTGCTCTTTTTAGGTGCATCTCCTTGTGGTTTTGATCTTCATTTTCCTAGTGCCTAATGATACAGAGCATCTCTTTCATATGCTTAGTGCCATTTGTATCTCTGCTTGGGAGAAATGTCTCTTCAAACCCTGTGTTCATTTTTCAATTGGATTCTCTTTTTTATAATTGAGTTGTATTATTGTATATTCTGGAGAGAAGCCCTTTAATCAATCAACACACCAAGACTTAGAAATCCACCAGAGGAGGCTTCTTCTCACAAAAGAGAAGAGGAAGAGGGATTTGAACAATTTTTATCGTTTTAATTTAATGTTATATTTTAATACTTCAGTCCTCATGCAAAGATTTAATTGTCCAGTTGAATGATTTTTCTTTTATGTTTTGTCCATATCTTTGAGCATTAGCTCTATACCACACTCCAGCTGTGGGCCTCTATCCTAAATGAGTGGAATTTTAAGAAATTGGGGTCTAAAGGGCTCAACTAAATGGTAGATGAAAGAAATAGGGGATTTAAGCCCAGGGTGGGTGAAAGGAAAATGGCAAGAGTGAAAGAGGAAAGAAATCAATTACTTAGAGAAACTAGATGTGAGAGTCTATGAGAGTTAAGACTTTGGGTCTGAGCTTGGAAGCCAAGAGACCCGAGAAGCTCAGAATGACTCTGCCAGGCTAGGAGATCTTGAACAAGCGAACTCGTGAGCCTAACAGAGGTGAAACTGGCAAGAGACTTCGAGAGACTCCCCGTAGTAAAGGATCTAGACCTGGGGCTGGCAAACTTTTGAGACAGAAGAGCCAGTCCTTCACAACAATTTTAAAATTATTTGAAATCCATCGTACATTTTTACAAACAGATGAAATTGCCATTATCTGAATAATAGCCTTTAAGCATTTTCCGTTTGACTTCAGAGTCACTTACTGAGAAGGGTTGCGTGCTGCTCATGGGCCGTGGCTTGCCGAGCTCAGATGGAGGCTAAACCTGGGCAGATTTTAGGTTCCTCGGGAGACCTGTTATCCAGAGGAGCCAGCCCTGGAAAAGGACATCGGGTTGGGTAAAGTAGAGGCAGAGCCTCAGGGAGATGGAGTGACAGAGGCGGCAACAATGGGCTCCAACAGATCAATGGTGGGGAGGCTCAGGACCAGGCAGTGTTTTCTTCTGTGGTACGTAGGATGGCATTGAGTCAGAATCTACTCTGACACCAACCACGAGCACAAGGTAAGTCCTAAGACTATCCGCCTCTCAAGTTTTCCAGGCTTTATGTGAAGTTGTGGTAGAGGGATCCAAAAGAAAGAAAAATAGCACCCCACACTCTTCAAGGAGGAAAAGGTTAGCACCAGCCGTCCTAATGCCTAGCTCTCGCTCTCTCTCCATTCAAGACGTTCTAGTGCAGCAGTGGAAGCAGCAATGATACCTAACCCACAGCTAATCCTAGAGGGACAAGGAGTCTGGGACTCAGAGAAGAAAGGGGGTCTACTCACTTGGTCAAGTGATAGAATATCTTTTTAAATATTTTTCTTAGGAAACTATAGCCTCTTGCTTTGATGATGTAATAGCCTGCTCAAGAACCCCCACCCCCTCTAGACCCACCTGCTGGTGCTGTGTCTGGAACCTCTCCCCTCAGTGTCTGTGCTATTGGAGACGGCCGGATGTTTTACTTTCCATCATTTCCTTATGCTCAGGTCAGTGGTAGCTTACACATAAGGACAGAGACCTGGAAAGGGCGGGGAACGGCACTGGCCCCAAGGTGCCCCGCGGAGACCCTCCTGTGCGGTATTTAAAGGACCTTGGGTTTTGTCACCCAGGAGTGGTGGACTTAAAACCAAGGGGAGAGGAAGAGCTGCCCTGTGCAGAACAGCGCTGTGGCGGGCTCTGCCCCGCCCTAGAGAACCCGATATTATCAGAGCTCCTTCCACACCAAGCCTTTTCTCCTCCTGGGCTCGGCGCTATCTGAAAATGATATGCTGAAAGGCATGTCCCTGCCTTCCAGGGAGGTGACATTAGGCTCCCTTTCTTTCCCTCTTTCTCCAGGTGCCAAGCTCTCCTGATGAAATGTGTTTTGCCCCACTGGGCTCCGGGGGCAGTCTCTGGTGCTGTTGATGCCCTTGTTCGAACTTTCCAGAATGGATAGTCCCCCAAAGCTGACTGGAGAGACTCTCATCGTCCACCACATCCCTTTGGTGCACTGTCAAGTTCCAGACAGGCAGTGCTGTGTCGGGGCAAGCGGCAGTGGTGGGAGCACAAGACCCAATCCCTTCTGTGCATCTGAGCTGGGCATCACCCAGCCTGATCAAGAACTAGAACAGGCCGACTCCCTGCTGTACAACAGCCTGCACTCAGCTCCAGGGGGATCGGCGTGGCCGGCAGAGGGTACCAAGAGCAGGGGTCGCGATGGACGAGGCACTGGGGCCCCTAAGCGACACAATCCCTTCTTGCTGCAGGAGGGTGTGGGTGAGCCAGGACTTGGTGACCTGTATGATGGCAGCATCGGGGACAGTGCCACCCAGCAGTCCTTCCACCTCCATGGAGCTGGCCAGCCCACCTTCCATCTGTCATCTTTCCAACCACCCCCGCCTGGCCCTGGGGTGGGCAAGCCATGGGGAGCAGCGCGCAGTCGAGCTGGCGTGGTGGAGGGGCAGGAACAAGAGCCAGTGACGACCCTGGCTACCCAGCGCTGTAGCGTGGGCCACTGCTGCCGGCCAGAGCTGGAAGCGGAAACCATGGAGCTGGATGAGTGTGGGGGGCCTGGCGGGAGTGGCAGTGGGGGCGGAGCCAGCGATACCTCTGGCTTTTCCTTTGACCAGGAGTGGAAGCTCAGTTCAGATGACTCCCCAAGGAACCCCGGATGCTCAGGCTCAGGGCCTCCACATTGCCGCTGCAGCAGCACATCTAGCCAGTCAGAGGCAGCTGACCAGTCCATGGGCTATGTGAGTGACTCCTCCTGCAACAGCTCGGACGGTGTGCTGGTCACCTTCAGCACCCTCTACAACAAGATGCACGGCCACGCCCGGACCAACCTCAACTCTGCCCCACACTCCTGCAGCGACGCTTCCTTCGGTAGCCACTCAGACCCCGGAGCCTTCTACCTGGACCTCCAGCCCTCTCCTGCTGAGTCCAAGATGTCCTGTGAGTCCCACCACCCTGACAGTGGAGAAAGGGAAGGGGGCTACGGCTGTCCGCACGCCTCATCTCCTGAGCTCGATGCCAACTGCAACTCCTACCGCCCACACTGTGAGCCCTGCCCAGCCGTGGCTGACCTCACAGCCTGCTTTCAGAGCCAGGCCCGTCTTGTCATGGCCACCCAGAATTACTATAAACTTGTCACCTGTGACCTGTCCTCCCAGTCATCCCCAAGCCCCGCTGGCTCCTCCATCACCAGCTGCTCAGAAGAACACACGAAGATTAGCCCTGCGCCGGCTCCTGGCCCAGACCCAGGCCCCAACCAGCCCTCAGAGTATTACCTATTTCAGAAGCCAGAAGAGAAAGCAGCCGGGGGCTCCTCAGCAGAAATGGCAGCTGCCATGGGCCATCCTGTGTTGGAGGGACAAGTGTACACTAATACGTCACCCCCAACCCTTAGCACTGGGCGGCAGCGCTCCCGAAGTTATGACCGCAGCCTACAGCGCAGTCCCTCTGCTCGCCTGAGCTCACTAGAGCGCATGCTGAGCTGCCCGGTGCGCCTGAGCGAGGGCCCTGCAGCCTTGATTGCGCCTAGCTCCCCACCCAAGAGAGTGACCTCCTTTGCTGAGCTGGCCAAGGGCCGGAAGAAGGCTTCTGGCTCTGGGTCTCCCCCACTTCGGATGAGCACTGGGGACTCTTCCCAGGAGTTCTCCTCCATTCAAGAAGCCCAGCAAGATAGAATGGGTCCACCAGATGAGGGCACTCACTGTAGCCATAGCCTACCACCCATGCCCCTGGGGCCAACCATGGACCTTGTTGGCCTCGAGCCCTGGTCCACCCAGGTCTGCCAGGGGCCCCAGTCCAGCGAGATGCCACCTGCTGGCTGGAGAGCTGCAGGGCAAGGCCCTCTGGCTCAGCTGATGGATCCAGGGCCTGCTCTTCCCGGGACCCCAGCCAACAGCCATACCCAGAGGGATTCGAGAGCTAGAGCTGACGGTAAGAAACCCAGGGACTGAGGAGCAGCAGCTATGTACAGCCCCTCCCTATGATAGGTCCCGGCCAGCCAGCCTGTGTCACCACTAGAGGCTCCTCAGTCTAGAGCCAGCATCTTATCAGTCTGTATGGTATGTCTTACAGCTAACGTGGGGGAGGAGGATAGCGAATAAAAGAATACCTCTAGGAGCTAGAACTCAGGACCCACGCACTAGTGTATTGGGAGGGGAAGTACTCACAAGATTGTGATCATAAGCCTGGATGACTGGATCGGAGTGATATCAGAGTAGAGACCAGGCATCGGTTGAGTTTGGGACAGGTGGGAATTTTCAGTGCTTCAGGGAGAGCCAGGGGCTATGTCCAGCAGGCCAACCATGTCGGGGTCTGGGAGGTTCCTTCCTAGACCAGTGGCACTTGCAGGCACTCTCCCAAGAGCCCCAGATGTGACACTTGGTTCTAAGTTTGTAAGCTCCAAGCCACCTCTATAGGCCTACTCTCCATTTATTGCATTTATTTGTAAACCATTTTAAGTCCGTTCAAAACCAGGCCCCATGTTAAGTCAGTGCTGGTGATTGAGAGATGAGAGGGACAGTCTTTGCCCCCAAGGAATTCAGCCTAAAGGTAAAAACAGAGTAAAGATGCTGTGGAGGTAGTGGTGGATAGAACACGATTGGTACTGGGTTGGGATATCTAAGTTCAACTGGAAGCCCGTGAGAGGACTGCTAACACAGTGTAGCTGTAAGTACAGCCTGGAAGGGTAACTAGGAACAGGCTTTGTAGAGACTTGGGAGAAGCGCGTCTGAGGTTCAAAGCCACCAAAGACAGAAGAGCATGACCAGTAAAGAAGCCGGCATAGCCACAGTGGGATGGGCTTGGAACCGTGGAAGGATCCCGGTGGGGGAAATGGTGTGTTGCTGTTTGTTTGTGTGTTCACGACAGCTTAGTGGCATGCTCTGTTCTGCATGTTAGAAAGGCCATTCAGCTGGGTGGGTGACAAGGTGGATGACCGGGGCATCTCCCTGGCAGTCAGGAGACTACAGCACAGATCTGACATTTCTTTGAATCAAAGTGGTAGTTGAAGCCATGTGAGTGGAAAAAGTATCCAGGGAGTGTGTGGGATTATGGAAGGACCAAGGACAGGGCCCTGGGGCTACTGTCACTTAAGGGGGGCCACTGAGGAAACTGAGAATCTGCCCGAAAAGGAGAGCGTGATGTCACAGTAGTTAAAGAGCCTTTAAATTATATATATATATATACATATATATATAACTAAATGAATTCTGAAGAGAAATCACCCGAGAAAAAGACTGCAGGCAACATCTGAAAGCAATATCTAGGTGTAGTGAGGGTAGAAGCAAGGGCAGCCAATTTCCCCAAAAGCTATTTGCTATATTAATCTGAGACTGTTGGCCTCTCAAAGGAAAGGGGTTTTAAAAGACCCCATAGATGGTATTATCCCTGCTATGGGGAATTACAACTCATTAGAAGACTTCCCAGCCCTAAACATGCTGAGGGAGCTGCCCAGAGGGTCCTCCCAAGGATCTCAATAGCAGAGGTTGGATCTGAAATATCAGGGATTGGTCAGGGCCCTCAACTTCCATAGACTGCAGTGTCTGATGCAGTTTGATGTATCTAGAAACAGGGATGCTGTGCCTGTGACTCTGGGGGCAAGAATAGATGGAGCAGGGCAGGTGGGAGGAGCCTTACAGGTTTTCTCTGTCAAGTTTGACTTTACATATTGAGTCTCCTGTCTCGAGTGACCTGTCACAGGGTTCTTCTCTTGATTGTGTGCAGTGTCTTGTTTTTCATGTCAATCAAAATTGAATAAAGAAAGAAGGCAGCTTCGTCCAGTCTGGGAATGGCTGTGAGAAGCTGAGAAGGTGCTTTGAGATCCTGGATGGCAGAGTAAAGATGTAAAAATGGCAGAGTTAAAACTGATCTTACCTAATCTGGAAGGGACAAAACTTATAAAGCTAGGGGCCAGTGTAAAGCTGGCTATGCACTTGAGTTGATTTGGACTCTTAAATTGATTGCAAGCTCAGAAAGAGTCAGCAATTTGATAGGGCTTTTTCGAGTCGGAAGGGAGAATTTATTAGCCCCTCTGTTGCTCTGGACCTGTTAGTGCTCACCTGGACTACAATGTATCCGTCCTGGGCACCATCTTTTTTCTTTTCTTTTTCTGGGCACTATCTTAAGAAAGAAGTAGAGAGTGAGAACTATTCCAGCTAGAGCAGAGCAAATGCAGACAAATGTAGTCTCCTGTCTCAAGGGCCATTGAAGCAACAGACCTTATTGTCCCTACATTCTCTGGGGGCAAAACTAGGATCCATTCCCACAGTAGCCCTCCCCTCTTCCCTGATTCACCCACCCACCCCACCCCCGCAGAACGATTTTTAAAAGAGTTGGGATAGATAGTCAGAAGTAGACATTTTACATAGCAGGTAAAATACAGCTGTGGTTGGGAGGGCCTAAGCCAGAGCTCGGATCATCTGGACCTTGTGAGATGACTGGCATTGAAGGAAGCAGACAGGAGAGGATGCTCACAGGAGGAAGAGCAATACGCTGAAAGATTGGGATGCAGTAGGGAGAGGCGAGCAGCCTTACGTGGCTGGTGTGGGCACCTCTAGCCACACTGCTTAGACTTTATTCTGATGAAAGTAGGGTTGACTGGAAACCAAATAAAACTGGTATTTTAGGAAGCTAACAGGTTCTGGGTGCAGTGAGAGCAGCTCGAACTGGGGGTGACAGTGGGAGTTCAACAAGCATGCTTTTTCAGTACCTGCTGTATGGCAGCCTCTATTCCCAGCACTGGGGCTGCAGCGCACACACCATCCCCGCCTTCCTGGGGCTCTCGTGAGGACAAACAAACCGGGAACCCAGGAAAATGTAAGATGATCTAGAATGGTTACAAAAAGAACAGACTAGAAAGCTGCGTAATGAGTTGGGGTTTGCCGGAGGAATTGGGTGGACACCATTGGGACGGTGCTCAGAGGTGGTCTTACTGAGGATGTGGCCTTTGACCTGACAGCTGAAGGTCTAGCTGCAGCACACGGAGCAAGGGAGAATGGCGTGGTGATAAAGGCCGCAGGCTGTATGGTTAGAAAAGGATGACTAGGGAAACCTGGTCTGGTACTAGTTCATGGGTGGGGTCGGGTGTAGTCAGAGCACTGGCCTCAAATTTAAGCCCTCAGTTAGGCATGCTTCGGGCTCCAAACTCTGGATAGTGTGACCTTAGGCAAATTAGTAAAATCTCACTGAATTTCCAATGGATGGGAGAAGTGAGGATACTGATGGCTGCTTCACCTCGCAGTGGTTCGGCCAATGGTGCCACGCCTAGGGACTTTGGCCATGTGAGTGCGTATAGCGCCACCTCCTGTTCATTCGAGTATTTACAGTCTGCACGGGTTTTTCTTAGAAGCACAATGCCTTGACAGAGCCAGTCCCCCCTGGGCAGTGCCCTGTAGTTCTGAGCCCCATAGTTTGAAGGTTGATCTGAAGAGCAGCTAAGAGAACAGAAGCGGGCTAGTCTTGGGGAACACACCTCTGTGCACGGTGAGCAGGGGCCAGAATCGTGACCAGATCAGCAGGGTAGGGGAAGAAAACAAGGAAAGCTTGCTGTAGTGGTGGCATTTGGTGAAGGATGGAAATGTGCTGGTGGAGGAGAGAGCTCTTGGTGTGCCTCTGACCCCAAGTCCTTAGGTCTCACAGGAACTAGTGATTCTGCTTTTGACCAGAATGCAAGGCCGGGGGCTTTTCATCTAAAGAAAACCTGAGAAAGACTATGCAAATTTAAGTAAAAGCAGAAGCCTAAAAGCTCATGATCCAGTGATCAGTGAGAGGGTCTGGCTTTCAAGGTGGACTTGGAAGCCATCTCGGTGGCAGGCTGAGCTACGCACAGAGTGGAGCGGGAGCTCTAAGAACTGCCCCAAGGTAGCACCCACCTGGGGAGCCAAGGAGGGGAAGAAGAGCGAAAACCCAGCACGTGTAGTTAGATAAAACCGCCGGGATGTCATATTCTGGGATGCCCCCTCCCCCATGCAGTCATATGTGTGTGTGTGTGTGTGTGTGTGACACTCCATCCTATGGAAGTCCTGAGCCTCAGTGGACGGGCATCACTTCCTGTGTCTGCCTCTTCACTTCTCATGGGCTTCCTTCTGTGCCTGTCTGCCTGACCCCTTCTCCGTCCCTGTTGTCACAGGGGGTGGTGCTGACAGCCGGCCCGTCCTGCGCTACAGCAAGGAGCAGAGACCCACCACGCTGCCCATCCAGCCCTTCGTCTTCCAGCACCACTTCCCCAAGCAGCTGAGCAAGGCCCGGGCCCTGCACAGCCTGTCCCAGCTCTACAGCCTCTCGGGCTGCAGCCGGACCCAGCAGCCTGCCCTGCTGGTGGCTGCCCCTGCTCACGCCCCAGGCCCTGTCCCCTCCGGGGAACCTCTGGCATCTACTTCCCGAACTGCCGCCAAAGGGGCCAGGAAAGCTGGGCCTGAGCCTGAGACCTCTCGGCCGTCACCCCTGGGCAGCTACTCCCCCATCCGGAGTGCCGGCCCCTTTGGGCCCAGCACTGATTCTTCCGCCTCCACTTCATGCTCCCCTGCCCCCAAGGAGGCCACAGCGGCCAGCAGCCCACCCCCATGGAGCCGCTCATGCTCTCCTGCTGCCCGGCCCAGTGCCTCCCAGCAGTCTCCGAAGGAGGAGCCAAAGACACTGCCCTTGGCTGAGTACCGGCTCCATGGAACGGGAAGCTTGCCACCTCTGGGTGCCTGGAGATCCGGCCTCAGCCGAGCCGAGAGCCTGGCCCGGGGAGGTGGTGAGAGTAGCATGGCTTCCAGGCCCAGTAATGGTATGAGCTTCTCACCCTCTCCCCCTCACCTTAAGTGCCCACTTCTGTCTCTCCTTTGAATGGTTGCTTATACTCTAGCTTGGGGTCAGAGGTCAAAATGTTGGTATCTGCGCCCCCTGCATCTGTGGGTCATCCCCCCCACTCTGGTGTTCGGTGTGGGCCTGCAGGGTGGCTGTGACATGCTGTCTGTCTCCTGCTAACTCTTGCTCGCCTGTCTCTTCTGCTAATCTGCCCTGCTTCCAGCCAACCACCTGTCCCCTCAAGCGCTCAAATGGCGGGAATACCGAAGGAAGAACCCGCTGGGGCCACCTGGTCTGGCAGGGAGCCTAGACCGAAAGCCACAGGAGGCTCAGCTGGCCCGAAGAAACCCCATCTCTGAGTTCCCGGGTGCCCTCAGTGGTGCAGCCCATCTGCACTGCCGGCTGAATGGTGTGTGGGCTAGGCCCCAGGACACCCAGGGCAGGCTGGGCCACAGCTGGGCAGGGCTCGAGAAGGGGTCATGCCTGCAGGAACAGGGGTCTGGAAGGATATGGCACAGAACTGGTCGGAACTTAGGAAAAGAGATTGACATGTTCTCCTTTCCAGCTCAGGTACTGAAGCCGTTGCCGCTGACCTGCCCTGACTTCCAAGACCCCTTCTCTTTGACCGAGAAACCGCCAGCTGAGTTTTGTCTGTCCCCAGACGGTAACTCGGAAGCCATTTCTATCGACCTGCTTCAGAAGAAAGGTGATTGTACTCCCCAGCCAAGGCCCAGGGCTCTGTGGCATGACCAGTCAGCGTGTGGCCCTCCCAACCGGTGCACAAAGGTTCTGGGGAGGAGTTGGAGAGCTCAGACCTGAGGTGAAAGGTCCAAGTCTTTACACGGAGGACTGTGGGCTGTGTGGTAAGCAAGGGCCATTGATCAGTTACTGAAGAATCAGGGCTCAAGTCCTTCCTGGGGGTTCAGGGGAGTGTGATGACAGCAGCTTGTCAAATGAGCACAGACAAGGACCCTGTGCTTCGCCAGCGGGCCACAAGAAACGTCTATCAGTGGGACCATGGCAAAGAGTTGAGCATCATTGTGGCCAAAGGGAAGGAGTTTGTGGAAAGATCGAAAGATGAGGTTCCTTGCAGAGGCAACGAGGGAGATCTGAAGCTTAGGGAGAGGGCACACTGGCATTCAGGAAAGAATACACACCTCGTCTGAGAGGAGAAAGAAAGAGAGAGGGGGGGGACAGATAGAACGCAGGTGAGGATGATTTTAGGAGGGGCAGGGAAGTGAACGGGCTCCGTGGCTGTGGGCCTCTGGTCTCTGGGGGAGGTAGGGGGTAACATTCTCTGGAGAATGAGAAGGGAGGTGGTAGAACCAAGGGTCTAAGGAGAGGAGTAAGGATTAGCCTTGGCACCAGGTCAGTGTTATACTGAGGACAAGATGCTCACAAGGCACCTATCAAAGCATGGCCCTAGCTGCACTAGTGGCCTTGCTTTGCACAGGGGTGGGCGAAGGAAAGTTGGATTGGTCCAGAATTGGGGGAGAGCTACGGGTCTTGACAAGGCTGTCCTTGAGGTGGGCCCAGGCTGAGAGGTGAAGACAAAAGGGGCTTGAAAGCTAGACAGAGGGCCAGGCCCTGGGTGTCTTGATGAGAGCTCTGTACAGGTGCCGAGAGGAAATATGAAAGCCCTGGCCCTTCCCACTGAGACTTCAGCCCCAGCTGGCTTGGTGAAGCATCTGCTCCGTCCCTGACACATCAAATTCTTGCTTGCAGGATTGGTAAAAGCTGTCAACACGGCTGTTGACCTCATTGTTGCCCACTTCGGCACAAGCCGGGATCCTGGGGTAAAGGTAGGCAAGAAGTGTGGAGAGCTGAGCCCTAACCTTGCCGAGCCTCACCTGTTGGGTGCCACCATCGGGCACTGTTCTCTTGCCCTTGGCGCAGAGTGGGGACCCTCGGGATGGGGATGGCAAGAAGGCGCTGCAGAGGACGAACCTTCGGAGGGGGTCCAGGCCTCAAATGATTCCTGCACTTCCCTCTCTGCACTTGCAGGCCAAGCTGGGGAACAGTTCTGTGAGCCCCAACATCGGCCACCTGGTTCTGAAGTACTTGTGCCCTGCGGTCCGCGCTGTGCTGGAGGACGGGCTCAAGGCCTTCGTGCTGGACGTCATCATTGGGCAGCGGAAGAACATGCCGTGGAGTGTGGTGGAGGCTTCCACCCAGCTGGGTAAGTGTAGGGTGGCAAGCTGGGGGTGCTGGGCTGGATTTGAGAGGTTGCCCATGTGACCTCCAACCCTGGCTTCCCCTCAGGCCCCTCCACCAAGGTCCTACACAGCCTCTGCAACAAAGTCAGCCAGTCCCCGGAGCTCACCAACCACACCATGCGCTTCAACGCCTTCATCTTGGGCCTGCTCAAGTGAGTGCCGGCCTCTGCTCCTAGGCTGGGACGGCAGGGGGCGCAGGCTCACCTTCTCCCCGCCAGCTCCACTTAGCAGACTACTGGGGCAGACTACTGGGCTTCTACTTTTACAAACCTATAACCGGCCTTATTTGGAAGTTAGCCAGGTTTCTCTAACACTGCTTCTAAATCCTGCTTGACCCTAACCCCACCTTGGGACCCACATCAATACAGGTATGCATTGTTCAACATCCACCTGACCTTCTGTGAAACAGCTCGATGTGAGGACACCCTATTGAAGCCTGACATAAGCCCACGTCTGATCATTCTCCCCTCCCTGCCACTGCTGGACCTGCTGGCCAACACAGAGGAAGGGTGGGGGGGCATGGCAGGGGGAGGGCAGCAGCAGAAACTAGAGGGAGCGAGGAGCAGAGTGCTCCCAGCCTTGCCCCCCACCTCGCCACGCCCCCCTCCCCCATGAATAAAACCCTCGCCCAGAGCCACTTCTCTGCCTCACCCACCTGTAGTCCCCAGATGTGTAAGCCTGGGTCTGAGGGTCTTTAAAACCATAAACCATTAGGGGAAATAATAAACAAAAGCTGCTTATAAAACAAACAAGCAAGCAAAGCTTATGAGACTACAGGCGCCCAACATGTGAAGCGGGGCATGCCTGTGCACCTCTCTCTCGGTAGTGGGTGCCCTTGAGCTTCCCTGGCTTCTCAGGCCTTCTGCAAGGCAGCTCCCTTCCTGGAAGAAGTGTTGTGAATCAGATGTCCATCTCCTCCTCCCCGCGCCGCCGCCCCCCTGCCCCCCCCTCCGTCCATATTGACTTTCTAGAACTCTGTTAGGTGAATTTTGAAGCAGGTGGTATCCTTGCCATGCAAGGAGGTGTTCGTCCATCCCTCGGCCCTGTGTCGGACCCCTACCTGACTCTGTCCCTACTCCACCTGTCTCCCCACAGCATCCGGTCTCTGGAGTTCTGGGTCAACCACCTCTATAGCCATGAAGGTAATGCCCAGCACCCTGCCCACTTCTACAGACTCCATCTAAAGCCCAACCCAAGGGAGGAAGGCCTAGTTCATTCAGATGCCAGTGGAGGGGCTGGGTGGAGGGGCACACAAGCTCTGTCCTCCACGCTTTAGACTGCCACCCCAGGCCTTCCCCAGGGTATGCATGCAGTCGGGAAGCTTGTTCCTCCCAGCTTAGGGATGTGGAGTTCACGCAGTGCCCAGCATCAGGGGCAGCACGGGTGCAGTGCACGCAGCCTGTGCAGCAGTACCAGGAGGCCTCTCGGAGTTGCTTACCCTAAGCGGATGGTCCTGCTCTGTGTGGATCAGCCCCTCCCCCCCTCTCGCTCCAGACATCATCCAGACCCACTACCAGCCGTGGGGCTTCCTGAGTGCCGCTCACACTGTGTGCCCTGGCCTCTTCGAGGAGCTGCTGCTGCTGCTCCAGCCCCTGGCCCTGCTGCCCTTCAGCCTGGACCTGCTGTTCCAGCACCGGCTCCTGCAGAGTGGTCAGCAGCAGCGGCAGCACAAGGAACTGCTGCGAGTGTCCCAGGACCTGCTGTTGTCTGCTCACTCGACGCTGCAATTGGCCCGGTCCCGGGGCCCAGAGGGCCCCAGAGATGTGGACAGAGCCGCCCGTGGGGAGCGGGTGAAAGGCGTGGGTGCCTCAGAAGGAGGAGAAGAGGAGGAGGTGGCAGAGGCAGCTGGGAGCTCAGGACATGGCAGGTCGGCCCGAGGTGGGCAGGCTGGCTGGTGGTACCAGCTCATGCAGAGTTCCCAGGTCTACATCGATGGCTCCGTGGAAGGTTCTAGGTTCCCACGGGGTGGCAGCAATAGCAGCAGTATCAGCTGCACCAGCAGCAGTGAGAGAAAGAAAGGGCTAGGAGGAGGGGGGTCTTCCCAGGCTCCACCCCCACGAGAAGGTGTGGTGGAGGGAGCTGAGGCCTGCCCTGCCCCCGAGGAAGCCCTTGGCCGGGAGAGGGGCTGGCCCTTCTGGGTGGGGAGCCCCCCTGACTCTGTGCTGGCCGAGCTCAGGCGCAGTCGCAGTCGGGAGAGAGGGGGGCCCGCTGCTCCTCCTCCAGCAGAAAATGAGGACAGGGCTTCAGAGGCTGCACCTGGAGGCATCAAGTGGGGACACCTCTTTGGGTCCCGAAAAGCTCAGCGGGAGGCCCGACCCCCAAGCAGGTGAGAGCAGCCTTCCCGCCCCCCCTCTACCCCCCATAGTCAGGGACTGGGAAGCAGAATGGGGAGCCTGTTCCGGGCTAGGGCAAGCACAGAAACAGTCCTGGCTCTCTCCCCAGGCTGCCCTCAGACTGGCTGAGCCTAGACAAGTCCATGTTCCAGCTGGTGGCACAGACGGTGGGTGCCCGGCGAGAGCCCGAGCCTCAGGAGAGCCCACAAATGCCTCCCTCTCCAGCCACACCCTCCACGCCCCCGTGGTGAGCTCTGGGCTATGGGAACGCGGAGGGCTGGGGTTGGCTTGCAGTGGGGTTTCTCTGACTCCGGTTTCTTACTTTTCCAGCGAGGTGCAGGCACTGTGCCACCGCCTGGCCTCAGGCCCCGGACAGCTGAGCTTCCACAAGGGCGATGTCCTCCGTGTGCTGGGCTCTGCCCCAGGAGACTGGCTGCGCTGCAGCCGCGGCCCCGACACTGGCCTGGTGCCTCTGGCCTACGTGACCTTGACCCCAACTTCAAGTCCAACCCTTGGAAACAGCCAAAACTGAGGCCCTGTGCATGCTGGTGGCCTCAGGGACCCTCATAGCCCCAGACTCAGAACCTGAGAGCCCCTTCCAAGCCCACCTGGCTTGGCTGCAGCATCAACCGAGAGAGCCTGTGGGCTGGCACCCGCTCCCTGTGCTCAGTATTAATGACACCCCCCCAACCCCTCTGACTGCCCCAGTGACCTCATCTGCACCTCCGCCCAGGGAAGGAAGAGAGAGTGCAACACTGGGTGGTCAGGATCCCCCAGGCCCTCTGGGCCAAGCTCCCCGTGGGTGCAGACAAGTCCCTATGGAGGGAAATAACCCAGAAAGCCCGTTTGCAGGGTTCCCTAGGCCAGACAACGATGAGGATGGAGAACAGTATTGGGGCCTGAGCCCTGAGCCCCCACCCTGTCCATAGGCTGTGGTCAGTGCCCTGGTCGTCAGAGGGTAGGGGAGGAGCCCAGGCTTCTGTTCATGTATTTATTTATTTATTTATTACACCTATTAATAAAAAAGGTGCTCGGCCTCCAAAGCACTGTGTCTGCCGCCCCCTCCCTCCTCCTCACAAAGCTTGGCTGGGAACAGAAGCCAGGGGAGGGAGACGCGCAGGCCGGGTACCTAGGCCAGGAGCTGCTTCTGCAGGGTGCTGAGGCCCAGCGCATCATGGGTGAGATGTCCATAGGTGTGACCAAACTGGAACTTGTACCCTGTGTGGCCAGGAGGGTCTATCACACAGCTAGTCACAAGAAGGGCCTCTTTCCTAACCAGTGGCCCAGGCCCTCCAATCTGCCCTGTCTGGCCCACACTCCACTACCCTAAGCCACCTACCTCCCTTTCCTTTTCTCCCTAACCAAGGCCCACATGCATTCTACCCGAAACCACTCCCTCCCCACCCGCCACCCCCGCCGGGAGGCGTTCTCACCTGGCACATAACCACCATAGTGAGGTAAAAGGCACAAGTTCTGAGAGTAGGTCCTGGGAAGTGGAGGGAGGTGTTTGGGGGCCTTCTGACCTCCACCCCCTGAGTGCTTCTGCCCAAATTCCTGCAGCGCCTGGTTCGTGAGCACCGGAAAACTGGAGCCAAAGAGGAAGCGTGCTCGGGGCACATAACCAGTGAAGCCTGGGGGCGGGGGCGGGGGCAGATATTGAGTCGACATCCCCGGTGGGCTTTCCCATGCCTCTGGTCGGTGCCCACCTCCCCTCACCTGACATGAAGAACTTCTGAGGGTCTCTGTCATCCATGGAGTAGGGAGAAGCCTTGGGGCGGGGGGCGGGGCAGTTGGCAGAAGAAAAGTAAGGCTCTCAAACACAGGCTCCCAGCAGGGGTAGCTGGCAGCCAGGGCTACACCTCAGACCCCCCACACCGCAGCTCACACCACTCCCTGGACCTGGACACACAGGATTCAGCTCCTGCTCCCACCCGCCATCAGCCGCCTCGATCTCACTTGTTCTGCCGTCAGCTCGGGCACCGGCTGCCTCCTTGCCTCCGGCTCTAGCTCTGCCTTTGGCTCTTGGTCTTTCTCTGGGTCTTTTGCTCCCTTGACTTCCATTGGCAATTCTCGACTCTGTTGCCATTGAGTAAACTCATTCAGCGCCTCAGACCAGACCTGGCTGCAGTTCTTGGCAAAGACGAACTGTGCCTGTGGTACAAAACCTGGGCAGGTGGGCAGGGGTCATGGGAAATCTGAATGAGCATTTGGGGCTCGCGTTGTGGGGGCGGGGCACCTGTTCGTGCCTGAGTACATACCTACCTGTGTATCCGGGGATCATGCTGGTGCTGAGCCTTTCGTGCCCACGCCTGGGAGGTCGGCCCCCCCTGGGAACCTCAGGAGACCGTGGAGGCCGGATGGGAGGCAAAAGTGTGCGGTGGACAGGGGGCCACGCTAGGCCAGGAGGACCTCCAAGTAGCTGACCAGTCACCTGCCCATAGGTCTGGCCCATGCTGAACCGCAGTAGTGGGCAGTGTCCAGTGTACCTGCAGCACAGTACTCACCCACTGACCCCCAGAGCCCCCTTCTCCACACCATCCCCAGGCAGAGACCTCAAAAGCCCTGCTCTTTCCGGACTCGGGTGTGTATTTGCAGTTACCATGGAGAAGACAACACAAAGCTTGGCAGGCCCAGGAAGCACTCCCCCCTGGCTATTTCTCTTTCCTCCTGTCCCAGGCCATAAATGCCCTAGCCTTGGGCTTCCCCAACAGGTACGTCCACTTGGGCCCCAAGGCTTAAGCTGCAGGGCTCAGACTCCTCAGCCCCTATGCCCTAAGGCCCCCGGATGAGCAAAGGCCCCCAGATGTGCTCTGGGTAAAGTCTTACCCGGGGATGTAATGAAGCTTCTGAGAGTCCAGCCCTGGGATGGAGGTGCTGGCCATAGCCCTGGGAACCTAGGCTTTTGTCTCCCTTTGAGCAAAGGCTCTGGGCTGTGTGTACAGTGTCCAGGGCTGTAGGCAGAGCCTGGAGAAGGAGGCGGGGCTAAGGGAGGGCGGAGGGGAGGGGGCAGCAGAGCAGACCCATAGGACTGGAGATCAAAGGCCTCTGCTAGTCTCTCCACCCGGAGACCCAAGCAACCGCAAAATACTGAGGTCAGCCTCATGTCCCAGGACATTCCGCTCTGTCTCAGAAGACTTCCTTTTAAATGTTCCTCCTGAAGCCCCTGCCTGAGCCCCACACCAGAGTCATGTCATGGAGACTTGCTTGCTTACAAAGTCGGGCGTTGGTGGGAGAGAGTGGAGTTCCGGGAAGATGTTCTCTGAGAAGACTGGCCAGAGCCCAGGGAAGAGGAGATGGAGGACAAGTGACAGGGAAAAGCCTAGAGACCTCTGGCAATGACCTGACATTTCAACAGTATAATTGCACACGAATTCTTTATTGCGCACCTCCAACAATTGGAAGCATCTGTTCAACAAGGCTGCTTAGCTCGGCTACAATTGTGTACACTCCAAGGCCCAGAAGCGCAGTGACACCACCTTATATAGCCAGTGCAGATACCATGACTCAGCCTACTGATTGGACACTCTCACTGGGCCAGGTGGACTGTGTCCAGGGCTGTGAGGCAAAGCCAGGGGAAGGAGGCACGTCACTAGTTTGATGGCTGCCAGGTAACCGATGGAGTAATACATGTAATAAAACTCCCTGCATCAAGTCAAGGCTGACTTAGAGCAACTCTTTTGGGTAGAGGAGAACTGGCCTGTGGGTTTCAGAGACTACATCTTTACAGCAGAAAGCCTCATCTTTCTCCCAAGGGGCGCCTGGTAGGTTTCAACTGCTGACCTTGAAATCAGCAGCCCAATGCGTAACACACTACAACACCAGCTCCTTATAATAGTATGAAGCCAATATGGTGTAGTATAAGGTGGGACATGGGTGGGAGGTCAGAAAACAGATTTACAATATCTTGTTGCCTTGAGTGGACCTTGAACTCATTTTTTTTAATCATTTTATTGAGGGCTGATACAACATCACAATCCATACATCAATTGTGTAAAGCACATTTGTACATTCGTTGCTCTCATCATTCTCAAAACATTTGCTCTCCACTTAAGCCCCTCCCATCAGCTCTTCATTTCCCCCCCTCCCTCATGAACCCTTGATAATTTATAAATTATTATTTTCTCATATCTTACCCTGTCTGACGTCTCCCTTCACGATCTCATTATTAAGGACATGTTTTATTTTTTGTCTTAGAGCCAAAGGCATAACTTTAAAAATAAATTTTAATACAAAGAACTAGCTTCACTAGCAATAGGGACTTTGGCCAGATTCATCTCAAGCCTCAACTTTCTCCTGCGTTAAATAGTGAAACTAATATTAACACTCAGAGTAGGATAAAATACATGGGATTGTGCATAAAGAGCAATTAGAGATCCATATTTGTACCCATTCCAAAGGAAGGGGGCCCAAAATAATACTTAAATTATAGAAAAGTATCATTACTCTCACGTGCAAGTAAACTTTTGCTGAAGATGCTCCAACAGTTGCAGCAATACAGTGACAGGGAACTGCAAGAGATTTAGGTCAGATCAGAAGAGGATGTGGAACAAGGGATATTGATACTGATGTCAGATTGTTTGTGGCTGAAAACAATACCAGAAATAGTTTACTTGTGTTTTATTGACTATATAAAGGCACTGGACTATGGGTATCATAACCAACTGTGAGCCTTGAGAAAACTGAGAATTCCAGAACACTTCATTGGGCTCATGTGGAACGTGTACATGGATCAAGAGGCAGTTGTTTAACCACAACAAAGGAATATTGCCTGGTTTAAAATCAGGAAAGGTGTGTGTCAGGGCTCTATCCTCTCACCATAGCAGAAAAAATAGCCAACACCACAGACATCTCAATTACTTCAGCTTACACAATTCCGACTGAAAAAGTAAAACAAACTCTGCTCAGTGAGTGCCAGACTGTTGAGCCCATATCAGCTACCGCAAGAGAAGAGGTACCTGTGGAAATTTGAAACCAGTGGGATGAAGATCCTGAAGCATTTCTTGGAAGGATTTCAGCAGAAGATGAAACATGGCTTTAACAGTAGGATCCCAAAGATAGAGCAAAGATCCCAAAGACAAAGAACAGTCAAAGCAGTGGCTGCCGAGGAGGGAGTGGTCCAGGCAAAGCAAAAACAGCCTGATCTAGCACAATGGTCATGACTAATTTGGGGGATGCTTAAGCATTTTGCTGGAAAGCCAGCGAGCAGTAGCATGTGCTTATTTATTATGAGAGTATTTTGAGAACGTTAGCCACAGCTTTAACGGAAAAATTCCTGGGAAAGCTTCGCCGGAGTCCATCTCTACCACAGCAATGCTTCTGCTCATCTCTCTCATCAGATAAAGGGCAATCTGAGGTGAGTCTATGGGAAATCACTAGGTAGCAACTTTCCAGGCCTGAATTGTTCATTCAGACTTCTTTTTGTTTTCTAATCTTAAAAAAATCTTTAAAGGGCACACATTCTTCCTCAGTTAATGTGAAAAAGATGGCATTAACAATGGCTAACCTCCCAGGACCAGCAGGCAGTTCTTTGGGGAATATACTTAAGGGGCTGTTATCATCCTTTACGTACAATGTCTCAATCTTGATAAAGTTTATGTTGAAAAATACGTTTATATTTTTATCTTTTCATTCCATTTTCCCATGAACTTAAAGTCCCTTCTATTACTCTAATGTGATGAATGAGCTTGTTTGGCTGAGACTAAACTGCCCCTGGAAAAAAACTATATGATGCACATTCCCCAGGGACAGGTTCAAGATTGGCCTGTGTCCACTGGGCCCTAAGAGAATGTTAATCCCTTGTTGTTCTCTTGCCAAACCGCTGTGAAATTTTCCTTGTACAATGCCCAAAGTCAGCATCTGGCCTTCTCTTGATCCCAAGGATCACCTGTAATTTAAAGCAACCTTTAGTCCTTGCACATTAGCCAGCACCCCGCCATAAAGTCAATTCTGACTCATAGCAATAGGGTTTCTGAGGCCGTAATTTTCCACAAAAGCAGACGGTCACATCCTTTGAGCTTCTGGGAATTTGGAACTACCAACTTTTGAGTTAGCTACTGAGCACTTAACCATGGTGCCACCAGGGCTCTATTTTCACATCTCCAACCACATTGAGAATTCTGACTCAGTGACCATATGAAGTTCCCACAGCTGTAAATCTTTGCAGTTGTAGAAAGCCTCATCTTTCTTCCCTCCAGTGGCTGGTGATGGATTTGAACCTCTGACTTTGCAGTTAGCAATCCAAAACTTACCCCACAGCACTGCCAGGGCTCTATTTACATTCCAAAGTCAAAGCCACTGAAGAGATTCCACCTCATTGAGATCCTACAGGACCGGGTAGCACTGCCCTGTGAGTTTGGAGATTGAAACTCTGCTGGGCTGCTAACCACCAGGTCAGCAGATTGAAACTACTAGCTGTTCCATGGGAGGAAGATGAGGCCTCCTACGTCCATAGGATTTAGACTCTGAAACCCATGGGGCAATTCTACCGACCTATCCGGTAACCATGAGCCATTTCTTTTTTTTTCTTTAATCATTTTATTAGGGGCTCATACAACTCTTATCACAATCCATACACACATCAATTGTGTAAAGCACATTTGTACATTCATTGCCCTCATCATTCTCAAAACATTTCCTCTCCACTTAAGCCCCCGGCATTAGGTCCTCATTTTTCCCCTCCCTCCCCGCTCCCCACTCCCTCATGAGCCCTTGATAGTTTATAAATTGTTATTTTGTCATATCTTGCCCTGCCGGACGTCTCCCTTCACGCACTTTTCGGTTGTCCGTCCCCCAGGGCGGAGGTCACATATAGTTCCTTGTAATCGGTTCCCTCTTTCCCACCCACTCTCCCTCTACCCTCCCAGTATCGCCACTCACACCACTGGTCCTGTAGGGATCATCCGCCCTGGATTCCCTGGATTTCCAGTTCCTGTCTGTACCAGTGTACATCCTCTGGTCTAGCCAGACTTGCAAGGTCGAATTCATATCATGATAGTGGGAGCAGGGAAGAAACATTTAGGAACTAGAGGAAAGTTGTATTTTTCATCGTTGTTACATCGACCATAAGCCATTTCATACTTGTTATTAGGTGTCATGGAATTGACTCAGCTGAATGAAACACAGCTGCCGTGTCCTGTACCATCTTCACAATGATGTTTGTATCCATTGTTGCAGCCACTGTGCTAATCTATCCTGTCAAGGCCCTTCCTCTGCTTCCCTGCCCCTCTACTTAACTAAGCATGCTGTCCCTCTCTGGGTCTCTCCTGATAACAGGTCCAGTGTGTGTGAGGCAAAGTCTCACCATCCTGGCTTCCAAGGAGCATTCTGGCTGCGCTGCTTCTAAGACAGATTTGCTTGTTCATTTGGAAGTCCGTGGTACTTTCAATATTCTTCACCAGCACCATAATCCAAATGCACCGGTTCTTCTTTGGTCGGCCTTCTTCAATGTCCACCTTTCACATGCATATGAAGCCATTGAAAATACCATGGCTTGGATCAGGCACCCCTTATCCTCAAATGTATCATCCTTGCTTTTCAATATTTTAACGAGGTAGCACTTCTTGGCTCCAACACTCATAACCTCGAGACAGGATTCCGTTGGAAGATGGTCATCCGCTGATGTAGTTATACTTACAGTAAGTTTCTATATCTTACACACACACACACTGCCATCAAGGCCATGCCAACCGGGAGCAACCCTTCTAGGACAGGGAGAACTGCCCCTGTGAGTTTCCAAGAGCATAAAGTCCTGCCTTTCTCCCACGGGGCGGCTGGTGGCTTACCACAGAAATTGAAATAAAAGTACTTTGAAATTCTTGAATTCAACGTTGTTCAGTAAATGTCAACCCCGTTCTCCTCTCAAGGCGGCCTCCATTTTGCCTCTAGGGGGCAGGCTGCTCACCGAGAGCCCAAGGGCTGTCCGCCGGGATAGAGTGGCGTCACCAACTCCTAGCGGTGATTGGCTCCTTCACTGAGAGGGCGGGAGCCAGTCAGGACCGGAAGCGTAAGGTACGGCAAGCGCACCGTGTAGTAAATCAGGGCGTGCGTACTCAGAACCCACTGAAGGGACCAACTGCAGCTCTCTTCAAACCTGAAGGGGCTGAGCCGCTTCCTACGGGGTAGCGGGGAGGAACCTCTTAAGAGGAGTCACTGACCAGGGCTGTGCCACACAGGGGGAGGAGTCATTTTGAGAGGAGGGGTCACAATGACTGATGGTGTCACGGGGGTTGGGGGGCGTCACACTGCGTGGGAGGAATATACACTGAGAGGGTGTCGTATTGAGGGGTGCACCGAATGGTGGCAGTATCATACCAAAGAAAAACCCCTCTGAATGGGGTGGGAGACCGTGGTCTCCGAGGGGAGGGGGGAGGTTCTTTGAGGGGGCGGGGCCTTGCTGAGGGTTAGGGTCTCGCGGAGGGAGGGGCTTTCCTAAAGGTAGAAGGTTCTTCGGGGAGAAGAGGGGAGGTCCAGTCTGGGTGGTCACTAGGCGGAGGCACTGAGATTTAAAACTTTACTGGGGTCAGGCAGCGTGGAGTGAGGAGTCACGGCCGACCACGGGCTCCCCACAAACACCAGCAACCCACCCATCAAAGAAGGCGTCAGGGAGCTCAGGTTTAGGGGCTAGGGCTCGAAAAGACCCAGGAAATGGACGGAGACTTGGTGGGGGGGTGGTGGTGCAGATTGCTGAGCAGCCACCTCTGATCGTGGCTGAGCCCGGAGGGCCGACTTTCCGGCCCTGCTGACCCACGGAGCCTGCCTGCCCCAGGCCCTCGAGAGTGCCCTGCGCAAGGGAGAGGAGGAGGCCTCGCAGGGCCGCCAGAGACATGGGAGCGGTGTGTCCCCATCATCAGCCCTTCATTCCCTTCGGGGATTCAAGTCCGGGCCCCAACGCCCCAGGCCCACTCGCCTAGGGCGACGCGAGCCCCGCTGGGGAAGTGCGCACC